GTTCAATCGGTTCCAAGAGCTCCAAAGCTGGTCTGATTTCTTTCTCGGGTTCCTTGGTTTCCACGGTGGTACTAACTATGGCGATGTACTTCCCTTGTGCGGCCACGTTGTGCGCAGAGGAGATCATGCAGACGTAGATATCTAGGAACAAACGACATCAGGTCACTGCCTAGCGCTGGTCAGTGTGGGACTCGGTGCACACGAGTTTCACCAGTGTCACTGTGAGGTGTGAATTAGTCACTCTGAACAGGTAACATCTTCTAAGCTTAAGCTCTAAGTGGAGGCAGACAGACTTGTATGTAAATTACACAAATATTCAGCAACAGGAATTTTAACCTGTGAGAGATTAAGGATTCATGTAGCAGCGAACTGCTGAATCCTGGAATGAGATCTCTCTCCAGCAGTGTCACAGCCAACTGGAAAACCGCATTAACTACTCTTGACTTTGCGCTTGGAAAAGTTCTGAATAGCTAGGAAATGATTTATTCAGTAATGATGCCCTCATTTATCCATTAAAGTAACAAAGTTGCAGGATCCACATAAGCGATTTTCGAGTCGGCATGATACAGTGAGGCTTGTCCGTGAATCACACTTCCGAGTGATTGTGTAACTTCCGGCGCAGAACACCCCCCGGGGTTCCCTTTATTCTTCTTAGATTCTCACAGACCTGGGGCCCGCTTGAGAACCCTTGAAGACTAAGTCCAAGTCCCTTGGTTCTGCTGGTGATCTTTTGAGATCTGATTTCTTCTACAGAAAAAAATGATAAGTAGCTCTTACCTATCCCGTTAAAACCTGATGACCCCTTGTAAGTTGAGTTTTACGTAAATAGAAGATTTAAGGCTTCTAGTTGGAAGGAAGATGGGACCATCTAGTGGTTGAAAACAACTTATTAAAGCACATAAATTAGGAATTGCCATTTTAGAGCCACATCCTGGTCTTCATCACAGAAATGAAAGCTGTTCTCTGCCACACTGCTGGACTCACATCTAAGTATTAAGTTTACAAATAATGACATAGACGCAGCTATGGCATCACCTCAAAAATAGAGTGGAGTCGGTTCGACTGCTGCGCTAAAGCTCCACGGGCACCCACGCTCGCTGGAGCAGGGAGACTCGGCACTCGCCCGGTCCAGTCCGTCCACCCGCTCAGATGAGAAAACCCATCCAGGTGACAGACACGAGTCGGGGGCAGGCCTCCCACTCTCATCTGTCACCTCCACACGTGCTGCGGGGCAGCATGAGCTACCAGGATCGCATTTTGTCTCCCGTATGTAAACTGAAGTCTCTTCACTGTATTACAGCACATAAAATTCAGAATTTGGGATTAAACACAAAGCAGATCTATCTTACAAAATTCTGCAAACATCTGTTCTTCAAAACTCACCTGACTTTCGATTGACTTGGTTCTGCGGAATAATGATCTGGCAGGAGTTGGCGTCGTTGGTGTTCTTGATGGGATGGCTGAGGACGCAGATGACTCGGATCACCTGGCCCACTTTCTCCACCCGGTCTTTCACGTAGCTCGGGTCGCAGATGAGCTGCTTACAACGAGCAATCTGTCACGAAACGTTGAAAAAGGCTTTACAGAGCTGACTTAAGTAACTGGAAACACCCTGTGTTCAAGGACTAGAAGACTTAATATCGTTAAGATGTCAAAAATCCACCCTAAAATTAACCTTGGATCTCAAGGGATTGAATTCAGGAAAGGCCAAAATAATCCTGAGAAAAGAACGGCAAATACGGGGAACTCGCTTGCTGAAAAGCCACCGTTATCAAAACAGTGGCGCTGGCCCAAGGACAGACGTCGAGAATAACGCAACAGGAGAGACAGCCCAGAAATAAACCCTTGCTCCCAAAGTCAAATGCCAAGACCATTCCATGGGAAAAGAACAATCTTTTCAACAAATGGTCCTGGGAAAACCATATCCACATGGAAAAGAACGAAGTTGGGCCTTGCCTAACGCCGTGCACAAAAATTAACTCAGAATGAACCGAAGACCTAAATGCAATACTCAAAACTGCAACACTTCGAAGAAAACAGGGCAAAAGCTTCTGGACACTGTATTCCTTAGATATGACACCAAAGACACAGGCAACAAAAGAAAAAAATAGACAAATTAGACTACATGAAATTTTAAAATTTTGTGCATAGTGGAGCATGGTGGCACATGCATATATAGTCCCAGCTACTCTGGAAGGCGAGGGAGGAGGATCACTTAAAGGCCGGGAGTTCAAGACCAGCCTGGGCAACATAGTGAGACCCCTGTCTCTACAAAACTGAAAAACTTAGCCAGGTATGACGGCACACGCCTGTAGTCCCAGCAACTCAGGAGTCTGAGGTGGGAGGATGGCCTGAGCCCAGGAACTCGAGGCTGCAGTGAACTGTGATCGCGCCACTACAATCCAGCCTGGGTGTCGGCAAGACCCTGTCTCTTAAAAAAAAAAAAAAAAAAGCTGCAGTAAGGTAAGGTTAATTTATCATTGAAGAAAAACAAATTTTATTTTTACGAATTTAGTGTATGTATCCTAAGTTCATAGCGTTTATAAAGCCTGCCGCAGTGTACAGGGACGTCCGAGGCCTTCACATCCACCCACCACTCGCTCGCCGACTCACCCAGAGCAACTTCCAGTCGACGTCCTAGCTCCGTTCATGGCAAGTGCCCTATAAAGGTGTATTATTTTTTATCTTCTAACCATAATTTTACTGGAGCTTTCCTATGTTTAGATACACAACACTTACACTGCGTTGCAATGGCCTGCAGCATTTGGTACAGTGACGTGCCACACAGGTTTGCGGCCCAGGAGCAACAGGCTACAGCAAACAGCCTCGAGTGCCGCGGGCTGTGCCGTCTGGGTGTGTGTAAGTGTGCTCTATGACGTTGACGCAGCAAAATCACCTAAGGACGCGCTTCTCGGAACACGTCCCCATCAGTAGGCGACGCATGACTATACTAAAAAAGGTGGCTGGGGAGAAGTCCTTTGGACCCGGATGGTAAAATGGTGCTATTTTTGCTGATATACCTGGGAATTAAACTGGCTTTAATAAAATCTTATAATGAATATGTCAAACAAAATCTGATTTCTTTTGTGGTTTGTAACTTCATTTAAAGTAGATTAGCCAATCACACTATGACAGAGTCAAGAAGAAAGGGGGTTATAAAGAAGTTGCCTACACCATGGGCTCGAAGCACAAAGACCCAATTAAACAACATTTTAGGAGATAAAACACACAAAGGTAACAGCCCCAGCAGGGGGACTCGGCACCAGCAGTGTTAAGACGCAGGGCTGTCGGCACAGAACGCCTCGGTCCCAACCACACCTCAGCCATGCATTCACGTCGTGTGCCCTTCTAGAGCTCTCTCAGTCTGAGCCTCATTTGTAAACTGGAGGTAAAATCTGCCTCCTAGGATCATTGCAAGGACCGAGATAAAAACTTGCTTCATGCTTTATTATTAGGCTCTTTTGCCCGAGGCCAGTCCTGAATTTTTTCTCAGTCATTATCCCCTTATGTTGGCTACCAAAATCTGATTTCAAACCTTCCTTTCCAGTAAGATCGAAACAATGAAAATATATCCCCTCCAGGAGGTTTCTACATTCCCACACGGCTCAAGGTAAAAAAGATAAAGCTCAGATCTTCAGAATCTCAGGGCCAGATAGTGAGGCAGTATTTGAGTGCACCCTCCACTGCGAGACTGCTGAGGACAGTGACCGTGTCAGACGGCAGGAGAATTAAGCAGGATGGTAAAAAGGGAAAGAATTTTTTGCAATGTATGGTTTACAGATCAGCATCATCATCACCACCTGACAGCTTTCAAGAACATGAGGCCTCCGCAGACCTACAGAGTCAGAACATGCACCATAACCTAACGCTGATTTATGTCATTCAAATTTGAGAAACACGGCTCCAAACTCCACCTGTGTGGATGGTCAGCAAATAAAACTAAATTTAAATGAAACTGTGGGAGATAGGCACTAACACACACTATATAAATAGAGAATACTTACCTTTTA